TGCTAATAACAGCAAATGTAGTTTGTACAAGTAATTTACCACAAGAAAGTGTATGTAAACCCTTTCACACTCATGTTCCGGGTCCAGTCTGAAAAACTGACAGGCAGACCCGATCGGATCATCCATAGCTCTATGGAGTGGTGGGTGTCAGCGGAAATCCGAGCCCATCCTGTATGCTAAAAACAGTTGGATTGGTGGGGTCATTTCCATCTGACCGCCCCATAGAAAACAGTGGGCTGTGTCTGTGTCCGCTCTGCATCAGCAGAGCAGACATAGACCTGTAGTCCCCTTGCTCAGCGGGGATAAGTAGAGATTCCCCGCTGAGTAAGCAGTTCTGCTGATGGGTCCGCCCCATCTGAAAGGGGCCTAAGTTTCTCTTCATAAAGGCTTTCTGATCAGGTCCACCTGTCAGTTTTTCAGTCAGACCTGATTAGAAGCTCTGAGTCTGTCCAGGTTCGGAAGGAATAGAAGGAAAAGGACTGCATCCTTTTTAATTTTTCCAGACTCAAATGTGACAGGTTAGAGGTAGCCTGATATATACAGACATTTAAATACAGTGACCCATAAAGTCATAGCAGGTCCTCCAACGTCCGTTGTCAAAATGTGTACAAAAAAAGAAAAGGCACAAAAATGACACCCATCCTAATCAGCACCAGTTCAGCAGGAGATCTGTTCATGGATTCTCTGCTGAATGGAGTGGACATGACCACGTGAAAGGACCCAACTAATATACTTATATATTTGCTTCCTTTTGGTTTGTTAAAGAGCAGGCTCTCTGAAATGTGTGACACAGCAGTGCCTACTCATAGGGCATAGTGAATAGATGTCACAGAATTCCAGGGAGTAAATATATGGGGATCTTCAAAATACAAGTTTACAAGATCGTTCAGAGTAATAGGAATTGGCTAGAAATTACTAATATACAATGTGGAAATAAATATAGGATTTTATATTTTGACATGCTATAAATCGACATATAATCCCATTGTATTATATACGATATGTGTTCAATATGTGATGATCGTGCCAAAAATCTTGTGACCTGATAACTTTCTAAGTCTCTGTCTGTGCTGATTGTTATTAGTTATTATTGTTCCCAGCTGCCTCTGTGGACTGCAACCCCCCCCCCCCCCATGTTACTTAAAGGAGTAGAGAGGGAGGTGTTCAGTAGTCATGTCCTAGGGTGACAATAAAGCTCCTCAATGAATACAGTAGGATGTGTGAGTCACCCTGGGACAGGAAGTGTATTCCTGGCAGGATCACCAAGTGGAGCTGAGCAAAATAAAAGCCAAAAAAATAAAACTGAATGCAGCCACCACATCTAGGGATCGGTAAGCTGCAATATTTGAATAAGCATTCTCTTAAAGTATAGCTCTAGTGTTGCTGAGAAAAACGATTCCCCTTTAGGTGATCTACAATGTAATTAAATTGCAAGGTTTTTTAACTTACATTGCAGATTCATTCTTTTCTGTGTTTTACAGAAATAGCTGTTTGCTTCACTAAATTCTCTTTCACATTTATGACCTCAAAAGTGTACCTTTGCTATAACACCTGAGCAAATCTTAATATCCTAATCAGCACATTTCTGTGGTGTCTGTATACCTTTAGACTAGAGCAGGTCCTATGGAGTATGTCATAAAAAGTCCTTATTGCAGGGAATGTTTAAAATGTACTTGTATCAGTAGTGTGTGGACTTCAAGTAGTTAAAACAAAACCATGGCTACAGCAGCAGTCGTAAGCCTGGTATTGTTTTTTCTCAGCCGACTCACAACTTTTAGTAAAAGTGAATTTTTTTATGGTATCGTGAAGATGCCCAGATTTTAACATGTAAAAAATGAAAAAATTGCTCTTGACACAAATTGGTTAATGTTACCTAGGGAAAAATCTGCTTACTGCCATTTAAACGGTTTGAGTGTGAATACGGGTGAGGAAATTATGTGTTGCTACATGTTGGTCCCCCCTAGTCGGCAAAGCCCAGTGACGCTGTAGTGTTCACATACAGTAACATACATCTAAAAAATGTCAAATATATAATTTGTCAAATCTTTCAACTTAATCTGACGTTATTAGAATCCAGGAAGGACAACCTTTGAATCATTAAAGCAGAGTTCCACCCAAAAGGGGAAGTTCCACTTTTGGCACCTTTGGGGAGCGGGGGGGAGGGGGGACGGGTACCCGAATGTGACAGGTACCCTCTCCCACTCCCGCTGCGATCGCCTAGGCGTTCGGAAGTGGAAGTCGTCCTCCTACCCTCCCTCCCCGAAGTCTTGTGGGACATGTGACAGGTCCGAGAAGACGACAGGGCCATTCAGTTAGTGCAGCGCTACGCGTACATGAGCAGTGGGCACCACGCTGTGAAGCTGCAAGCTGTCACAGCTGAGTGCCCACACTGAAGATGCCGTCCTCCTGGAGTACAGGACGGCCGGTGAAAAGGGCTGCGGCGGGGATACGCGGGATCGTGGGACAGGTGAGTGCAGGGGCGGACTGACAACTCATGGGGCCCCCGGGCAATAGGGGATCATGGGGCCCCTGTGTCCTTGCCCATACAAAAAGCCTATGAAAAAGCCAATGAAAGATACCAGGGGCATCTCATGGGGCCCCCTACTGACCCCGGGCCCTCGGACAGTGCCCTAGTGCTCGAATGGTCAGTCTTCCCCTGGGTGAGTGGCTGTTTTTTAAAAGTTAGCAGCTACAGTTTTTGTAGCTGCTGACTTTTATTTTTTTACAGAGTAAGTGGAACTCTGCTTTAAGCTTTAAGGCTGCATTTATACTATATCCAAGGGCAGACTGACCATTCAGCACACGGGCACTGCCTGAGGGCCCGGGGACAGTAGGGGGCCCCATGAGATTCCCCTGGTACCTTTCATTGTTTTTTTCATAGGCTTTTTTGGGTGTGGGCGAGGACACGGGGGGCCCCATGATCCCCTATTGCCCCATGCGTTGTCAGTCCGCCCCTGACTATATCAGTGCGTGGACCAGCACAAAATAGCAGAATTTGTGCATATTCATGAAACATTTATTGTTAAAAATGCACAACAGACGCAGCGAAATGCGCGATTAAAAAACATGTTCAGGCCGAAGTTCAAGAAGGTGCAAGAGCTACTTTGCTGTGTTTGCTGCACATCAGGCAGCTCACTGAAATTAATGGGTTGCCCTATGCATGTAGCAAGACAACATGACAAAAATGTGCATATACTTGACATGTCATAGTGTGCACGGGGCCCAAGAGAACACAGTAACAGACCGCAGATCATTCTTTTTCAGCTGACTTAGAGCATGATAATAACTAGGGATGCACCGATACTAGAGCAGCTGACCTATTAGATGCCGTCAAGCCCCAACTGTCATTGCTGCAAGGAGAGAAAAGAAAGTGGCGTGGATTTCAAATCCTCTCCACTTTCTCTCCTCTCCTACCACTGACACTCAGCATGGGATGCCTACAAGGAGGGTTCCCGCACCACTCTTGTGTGAACTCGGGCAATGACAAGCCTGGGTTCACACAGGAGCAGTGGGGAAACCACATATGATTTGAACAGGAATCATATTCCTGTCCAAATCGCATGCTATTTTTTAAATTTTGTATTGATGCATATAGCACTGTAAAGTATTAGTTTGTGGTATCAGGAGCATTTTCACGAGTATAAGTACTCATGAAAATACTCTGTATTGGCACCGATACCGGTATCGATACATCCCTATTGATAATGACTTCTAAAAATACATTCATATGTTACAGGATACATGACATTTTAGTTATAGTGTTTAGTTATACTTAAAAAAAAAAAAACAGCCATGTAAAGAGTGCTACTATACTTACTCAGCAGGTTTGTCCTAGAAGACAAAAGGTTGAGCTGCAGTGGTTTACCTAAGTTTCAGGAACATATATTTCCATTTTGACTGAGAGTCCACAAGCTATAGCATATCCTAATGGGATCCATCAAATAAAAAAAAGCTATATATATTATGTTTTTTGGATCTTGAAATCCTAAATGGTGTGCAGTTGGGTGGTGGTGGGATCAGCAAAAAGTCTACATTGTCCACACTCCACAGGGAGTTTGATATTCTAGCTACAATGTGCTGCTGTTCCTTCCAGGATGTTCAGGCATCAGGACCATGCAGAGTGTCAGCTGAAGACAGAGCACACAGACAGCTCCAGCTTGTTCATTTTTCTCCACATCTCCAGATGGCATACTCATTGTTGGCCTGTGAGAAATGTACATAGGCAAAGGTTTAACAGTAGACAGTAGGCCAGACAGAAATGTTGGCCCCTCTATACTCTCCTGGCAGTTCTCCTAATTCACTTCTGCAATCTGCTGGGTTTTAATCCATGTATTGGCTAGTAAACAATCCATGAAAAAGGCATACAGTCCTCCCTGAATAATATCAGCTCACCAAATCAAGCATACAAGCGCATTCACCATTAATTATTATTTCTGCTGTGTTCGACTTGTGTAGTTCTGGAGGAGCATGCATTTTTTTTTCTGTTTTTAAAAAGATAAATCTGCCAGCCTCCTGAGCACCCATGCTATTGATGCTGCCCACTCAAAAAAAGAAAATCACTTTGTTTTTTCTTTTTTACCATAAGCTTCCCTTTGCACTTGGCGTTACGGGACAGAGTTTCCTCATTGCAAGATTTACCCTTATTCTTGTTTTGGTAGCAACTCAAAATTCTCACTTTCCTAATGGGGACACAGACAGCAATGAAAACCTGGTAATGGTTATAACCCTATACTCTATGCAGATCTGAAAAAAAACAAGGTATTCCTTTAGTTATACTTTATCTAGTACAACTAGTGCATCCTTCCCGACAGTATTTTCCCATGAATATCATTGTTTATGTTCTTATTAACTGCCTCCCGCCCCCACCATATAAGGAAATGACGGGCGCAAGGTGGTTCTCTTGTTCTGGGAGGACGTCATATGATGTCCTCCCACTCTAACCGCGCGTGCATGGCTCCATGGGGGGCGCAGCGCAGTGATCGGTGGTGCGTTATGTCCCTCAGACACAGCGAATCACAGATCAACAGAAAGAGCCAAAGATGTCGGCTCTGTCATGTGATCAGCTGTGTCCAATCACAGCTGATCACATGTAAATAAGGAAATGCTGGTTATCGGCATTTCTCTTCTCACGAGCTGTCACGCTGACAGCTCGCGAGGAGAGGAGAGCCGGTAATCGGCATTCCTCAGAGGGGACATATACATGTATGTGCCCTGATGATCTGTGTAGCCCCATCAGTGACACCTGTCAGTGTTCATCAATGCCAGTTGTCAGTGCTCATCAATGCCACCTGCCAGTGCCCATCAGTCCCACATCAATGCCACATAGTGCCTACCAGTGCACATCAATGCCACATATCAGTGCCCATCTGAGCTGCCTTTCAGTGCCACCTATCAGTGCCAGTCAGTGCCACCTATCAATGCCAGTCAGTGCCACCTATCAGTGCTGCCAATCAGTGCCACCTATCAGTGCCAGTCAATGCCGCCTATCAGTGCCAGTCAGTGCCGCCTATCAGTGCTGCCTATCAGTGCCACCTAACAGTGCCAGTTAGTGCCGCCTATCAGTGCCATATATGAGTGCTGCCTTTCAGTACCCATCAGTGCCGCCTATCAGTGCCCATCAGTGCAGCCTATCAGTGCCCATCACTACAGCCTCATTAGCGCACATCAGTGAAGAAGAAAAATCACTTATTTACAAAATTTTATAACAGAAACTAAGAAAAAACTTATTTTTTTTCAAAATTTTCAGTTGTTTTTGGTTTGTTTAGCAAAAATAAAAAAACCCAGAGGTGATTAAAAACCACCAAAAGAAATCTCTATCTGTCTCAAAAAAAATGATAAAAATTTCATATGGGTACAGTGTTGCATGACCACGCAGCTGTCATTGAAAGTGTGATAGCGCTGAAAGCTTAAAATTTGTCTGGACAGGAAGGGGGTATAAGTGCCCTGTAGGCAAGTGGTTAAAGGAGAGGTTGTTTTTTCTCATTTTTAAGAAATATTCCATGCATTTTAACCCTAAAAAAAGTGTACAGTGATTTTAGATATGGTAAATAATTTTGCCTCAATGGAGAGTACGGGGTCATATTTTTGCAGAGAGTTCCCTTATCTATAGCAATAAACTGTAGGTCCTAAATGTACTCCAGAGCGAGTGCATTAAATTAGACCTGAACTCAGATTTGCTATGTTATAGGGTGCATTTAGAAATGTGATTATCTATCTTTTGTTTAGAGTTCCTTCTATAATTCCTCCTATAGCCATGCTCTTCTTGGTATGTGAAGGTGTCTAAGCACTTTTCTGCCTACAGCCTCGTAGCTACATATCTGTAGTGTGAGATATACAATATGGCACTGCTGCCTCTGACTGCTAGTCTCAGGAGATTCTGGGATGTCACTACTATGCTGCTTTCCATTCTCTATCTGAAACGAGGAATAAAGCCTTTCGTTTACCAAGATGTCCACCTCCACACAGAGACACAATGCAGAACAAGGCACAGCAAGTCGGTAATGAGGAAAATGTCAGCTGCAGACCCACATGGAAGAAAAACATATTTGGAATATATTTTAAAAATATTCTTCCAAATATAATGACATATATTTGAAATGCTACAATTTTGGCCATATATTTCAAAATATATTTATATATATATGTATATATATATGTATGTATATATATATATATATATATACTGCACGTTGAAATGTGTTTTTATTAAAAAAGTATATGAAAAATATTTGTAAAAATACATTTCAAATATACTGTATGTCTTTAAAAATACAAATCTACATTTTTGGAATAAGTTTACAAATATATGTAAAAATGTTAAAAATGACTTTTTTATATGTTAAAAAAATCTGAAGAATATATTTAAAAAATATATATTTTTACAAATATTTTTCATAGTAAATTGTTTTTTGAGTACCACACAATTCTAATAACGTTATTCTAACAAAGTGTATCCCTGGTCCTAATGACTGCTGGCCAGTGTGGCCACTCACAAAACTCATGGTATTATATCCTGGAATGCAATGAATTCTGAAAATGGAGGACGTGTTAGTGAATGACAGGACCAGTCTCCTCCATTCACAGAATGCCTTGCATTTTTTGGGAAACAAAATGCTGCAAGTTATGTAAATAGCCAACAGGACAGGAATGGGAGCAGGAATGGTATAATCTTTTACAGGTGTAGCCTCTCATCCTCGTAGTGCCGCAAGATCTGAGCTATGGGGAGTATCCAGCACCACTAAGGGGAAGAATATGGTACTAACCAGCAGCCAACAGAACATAGAATACACTTAATTACAGGTACATTATTTCCGCTAGCACCTCCCAGCCCATTTAGAGGTTTCAAACACCAGGAGGAGGGCATTTTGGTCATGTGACCACCGTGATTGGCTGTCACAGCGGTCACATGATCAGAAAGCTCTTGATCACAGGTGGAGATCAGAAGCTTTCCATTACCCTTCGGTAACTGTGTTGAGAGCGCTCAGGACGCACGTTCTTGGCACAGCATTGTTTACACTTTGGTACACATATATTAAGGCCCACCCGCCGAGAGCCTGCATATATGCTTACTGCTGGCTGGAAGATGCTAAGCTGTTATTTTACTAGTCTTCAGTTTTATTTACAGCTGCTCTCACACCAAAAATGATATAAGAGGCTTGGGCTCCCAACCTTTACTTAAATTGACACTAAACTCTGGTTTATAAAAAACAAATGTATTCAAGTATGTATTCCTAACTCAAAAAGTACCTTCTATTGCTCTCAGCCTCTTCCAAACTCCTTTACTTTGCTGCTGGGATCTGACTTTGTTTTATAGGGGGCTACATTTGTTCTCTATGGTTCAACCATATGTAAGAATGTAGCCAAGCTCTCTTGCTCTCTCCAGAGATGGGCTAGGGAATATGGCATTTGTGGTGTACATAGAGCAGTGTACATGGCCACAATTAATGTGCACTGTTCTGTGGGACTGTATTGTGGCACCCATAAGCTCTGCAATGCAAACTACCATAGAGATCTTTAGGATTTGTATAGCAATCCTTTTTACTGGCTTCCTTTTTTTATTCCCACCACTAACTTGTGCTAAGCTTTTGTCCTTATTTTAATGTGCACTGCTTGTTACAAACAGTAAACACTTTATTGCACCCACACTGCAACAGTTAATAACTTGTTTTTGACTAGAGGAGTGGACAAACAGTTTTACTTACCTGATCCTCCACTCTGGCAAATGGTGCACCCCCATGATCCAGCAGTGGACTGTCCCATGGTATCATCATGTCCAATGCAGAGCTATGAACCCTGCTTTGGTCTTGATGACACCAGAACCCTAGACTGCTGGAGCACAGGTGTCAGGAATGCGGGTAAGACCAGAAGTGTGTGGACTGACACAGGGAAACGCAGGCTTCAGATATAGTAAATAATATAATTTATTAAGATTAACAATACAAACACAGTGCAAAACTAAACATAAACACAGTGCAAACAAACTGAACCAAACCTCCAACAGATAACAAACATACAATACAAGAGTAGTCAGACAGGCCGGGTCGGTAGCAAACGGGCAAACGGAGTACCAGGAGCAGGCGGGAGAGAGTGGTCAGGACTAGCCGAGGTCAGTACAGGCAGAGTTCAAGCAGAGTCAGGACAGAAGTAACAGGATCAGGAAACCAGGGCCAAGCAAACAGTACAACAAGGCACTGACTGCAGGTCTGGCCATCCCTTAAATACACCACCTGCAATCGGCCCCAGGTGGTGGCTAATTGCCGGAGTGAGCCTCTGGTTGTTGAGAGCACCCGCTGGCCAGTCCTGGTACTGCAACCCACAAGGCAGGTGAGTCCCACCACTATTGGCGGGTCCATTCCTGACAACAGGGGAGAAGAATCTGCTAGGATCAGTCTAGTTGGGGGAGGGGCATAGGATCGAGTAAGTAAATCCTTTTCTTTTGTTGTTCCCCTGGACCAAAATGAGAAGTTAACTCAAGCAGTGTAGGCACAAACCCGCTACAAGGGAAAATTTTTTAGTTACCTGTAGTTGGGCTTTAATCGTGATGGAAAAAAATTGCCTGTAATTCCTTTTTAGATGCTTCTGATAATGTCTTTCTACACAAAAGTATAAATATAGAAGGCTGGACTAGATGTAATATTAAAAGTACAATAAATACAATTCTTACTAGGAAGAAGTATTTGCCCTGCTTTTTTTTTTTTATTCTTTATTTACAAGTCATACAAGAATGATCTGGGCCTGCAGAGTCCAAAAACAATAAACGGTATGCGCAATGAGCAAGTTACACATACAAAAGTGAAAACATCAATAGTACCATCACAGAAGGGCTAGCATAGAGGACAGTTACAATAGGTAGATAATGCATATGTACTAAACTCTCAAACACCATAGCAGTGTAACCTACCTCATCCAGTGCCCTCAAACATAGATCTTGTATAACTTTTCAATATGGTCAGAGAAAGGCCAAGAAAGAAAGGAAAGGAAGAGAAAGAGAAGAAAGGTAGGGTTTGGGGAAAATTAAAAAAAGGAGGAGGGGTGATGAGGGGGGGTAAATAAAAAGTAAATAGTATGTGTTTGGCTTGAGTAAAACCAGGCCCAAGGAATTCTGTTGGGTTTGCTGGCATCACCACTAAGGGAAGAGCCAAAGATGTCACAGTTGGGAACCCAAAATATCCCGATATTCAGATAAATAAGTGAATTCAGTCCAATAAAATCACGTTTTGTGGAACCGTTCCTCTCTATCGTGTGCCACAGCCAAAAGATCTTCCATTTGCACTGCTTTTAACACTGCACTTAGTGGTTGTGATCTTTTCCCCATTAATGACTTGCCATGCCTTGTCTTACACTGTGTCTCTGTATGGAGGCAGCCATCTTGGTAGAGGCTTCAGAGAACAAGGACAGAAATCAGCTCAGGAGTGAAATCACTAAATCACACTTCAAATCTCCTGAGACTATCAGTCAGAGGCAGCAACGCCTGAGCACTCTCACTGCAGATATACAGCTCTGAGGTTGTAGGTTCAGAGGTGCCTAGACACCTTCACATACCAAGAAGTACAATTCCAGACATAATGTACATTTTTCAAAGTACTACATAGACACAATTAACATTTTACATTATTCCTATAACATAGGAAAGCTGCCTTTTTTTCCTGTTCAGATCCACTTTTTGTTTTCTGACACACTGTGTATCATAAACAATTACAATTAGTCTTTGTAAGCCTGTTGTATGTAGCAGCCTGTTTTTTGCTATAAATTTAGTCAGATATGAAAACCACATTTTCCAGACAGATCTTTAAAAGTCAGGATTGTTGCAATAAATAACATACATTCAGAGCCTATTTTTGATGGATAAATCTGTATACAATTGCATTATGCAGACATAAATGATTTAGGGCTACATTTACACAGAGATAGGTATCATCTCTGTAATTATATTTATTTGTAAAACAATACCACTAATCCTATTCATATCAGAAGGTTGCTAGAATCAATATTATGTATCATATATCATTTTTTTCATTTTATATTTTGGTATGAGAATGCAATTGACAATAAAAATGGCTGCAGCATTTGGCCAATATAATGAACGAATAACAGGATTATTTTATAATAGTACAGTTTAGGTTTGAAACTGAAGGTACGGGGTCTGGTGGACACTAAGGCTGCTTTCACACCAATCTGCTGCAGTTTCTGGTGCAGCGCAGTGTACCCTCAGACTTCCATCATTGGATCAGGCAGTTTAGTGTGTTTTTCTGAAAGTGTGCCAAAAGTCCTGCAAGCAAGCCCCCCAACCCACCCCCCCCCCACTCCCCCAAGGTGCCAATCCTTAATGAGGCGCAGGGGACAAAGCCTTAAAGCGGAACTTCCCCTTCTGGGTGGAGCTCCGCTTTAATATCTATTCACTTTTCAATGTGCTGTATAGCAAAGTAGTTGTGTTATACCAGATCAGTTAATTTTGTTTTGTATAGCTGAAAGAATCTGCTATAAAAGCCACAAGAAGGAAGGAATAAGATGTATCACCATAAAACAAAGCGCTGAGTAATGCTTGTTACCTGCGCAGCAACACACAGCAATTGGCTTGATACTGCAGACAGTTATAATAATACCTATTAAAATACTGTTCATTGCATCATTGTTGAATAAACCATTAAACTGTCCAAGGTGTTTTTCTTAAAGCAGATCTAAACTCAATCAACAAAAAAACTTCATATAAACATTTTCTTTAATTCCAAATTACAGTTAATGTTTATACACAAAATGTATATTTGAAAGATGCCTTCAATCTATTCAGATCTGTAGCTTAGGATCCAGCCTCTGTAGGTGATCCAGCCTTGTTTAGACTCCAGACTATCCAAAGTATTGATATGCAGCTGATGGTGGTGCAAGTGAATGTAGATTACAAGAGGCCACAAAAAGACTGAAGAGAGATAACCAGCTCCGAGGTGCAAAAAAGGATGAAAAGAGGTGAAAAGAAAAAATTTTTTTTTTAAACAAAAAAAAAAAAACCCATAATAGTTTTTTTTGATACACAGTGCTTTAGAAAACTAAACATTGTCCACTTAGGGTATTAATATTTTTTTTACAGTACCTAAAAAGGCTACTGACAGTTTGTTTAGCTCCTTTTCTCTGTGAGCAGTGCAAGGACAAGGTCATCCAGGGCCTAGGGCGAAGATGTCAAACTGCGCCCCCCCAGGTGGAGGGGTGAAACTAACAATAGCGTGCAGAGCAAAATGTATGTATTGTTTGTGGCGTATACTGAATAGTACCAATAGTTGTGGTATACTGCAGCAAACTCAAGAGTTTAACATATCAGTGCTCAAATATGGGGCTTTGAGTGGCGAAGAAAAAAAATGTCTCTGTGTCAGTGAAGTTACTGGAATGAAAAATGTCTCTGTGTCAGCTGTGATGCTAACAGGAACAATGGTGCTACATCAGTGTCAGTTGGAAAAAATACTGCGGCATCACTGGTGTCAGTCTGAGGAGAACCTTCAGCGGGAAGAAGGAGGGAAGGGGAGCTAGGCTCTGAAGGGTGCATGGAACGAAAGGGATCTAGGAGTATAAACTAATCCAATAGACACATTCCCTCATCTAGGTTTTTACTGCATCTCACAACTTTACAAACTGCACTCTCGCTCCCCAAAAAATAAATAATTACATCCAAGTTATATATACACATCTACTGTACTATGTATGGGAATACTTTGGAGTATTTTGTAACAAGCTTGCTGTTCCATATAGTCACAATATGAAATGGTTACATGTTTTTATGTCGATGCCCACATTTTCTATCTCGATGATGTTTTTAATAATGTTCACTAAAGCTATCATTTTTTATAAATTGTGTATAGAGTTTTGTTGGTATAGTGCCTAAAAAAGCCCCAATAGTTTCCTTTTGGTTAGGGTCTTGTTTTTCAGTGTATTTTCAATAAGGGGTGTGCCACTAGTAAAGTCTATTAACAAGGGTTGATAAATTATCCATATGGGTCTCTCTCTCCCTTTTTCTATGTAATTGCGTCTTATCATTTCTGCCCCTCTGAAAAATAATCTGTGGCAGATTATATTTTAGAGGGTGTTTGATAGGCAATGAGGAGGTAATATGTTTTAACCCACAGACCCACTGTGCTGCAGCTGTGTTCATTGCATGTAGTTGTAGCATGATCCTATTCCAATAAATTTTTGCCATGATGCAAGGCATCAGGCCATGGCATGTGTACAGCCCTGAGCAGCTACATCTCCTTGTTCAGGTGGATGGTTGAGGTGGCAGTAAAATTTCTAGCACCAGACCTCCTGTTTAACTCTACACTGGAAACCTGTAAAGACTTTTAAAGCGTCACCTATGGATAATTTAACGTACCATAGTTTGTTGACATTCCACGGGCATGTGCAATTGTAAAGCGTGACATGTTATCTATTATATATATATATATATATATATATATATATATATATATATATATATATATATAGTATATTGCCAAACGTATTGGGACACCTCTCCAAACCATTGGATTCAAGTGTTCCAATCACCTCCATGGCCACAGGTGTAGAAAATCAAGCACCTAGGCATGCAGACTGTTCTACAAACATTTGTGAAAGAATGGGTCGCTCTCAGGAGCTCAGTGAATTCAAGCGTGGGTACCGTGATAGGTTGCCACCTGTGCAATAAGTCCATCCATGAAATTTGCTTGCTACTAAATATTCCACGGTCAACTGTTAGTGGTATTATAACTAATTGGATGCAACTGGGAACAACAGCAACTCAGCCAGAAAGTGGTAGCCCATGTAAAATGACAGAGCGGGGTCAGCGCATGCTGAAGCGCACAGGGCACAGAAGTCGATAGCTAAAGACCTCCAAACTTCATGTGTCCTTCAGATTAGCACAACAACAGTGCATAGAGAGCTTCATGGAATGGGTTTCCCCAACCGAGTAGCTGCATCCAAGCCTTACATCACCAAGTGCAATACAAAGCATCGGATGCAGTGGTGTAAAGCACGCCTCCACTGGGCTCTAGAGCAGTGGAGACATGTTCTCTAGAGTGACAAATCCCTCTTCTCTGTCTGGCAATATGATGGACATGTCTGGGTTTGGCGGTTGCCAGGAGAATGGTACTTGCCTGACTGCATTTTGCCAAGTGTAAAATTTGGTGGAGGGGGGATTATGGTGTGGGGTTGTTTTTCAGGGGTTGGGCTTGGCCCCTTAGTTCCAGTAAAGGGAACTCTTAAGGTGTCAGCATACCAAGAAATTTTGGACAATTTCATGCTCCCAACTTTGTGCGAATAGTTTGGGGATGGACCATTCCTGTTCCCAACATGACTGCGCACCAGTGCACAAAACAAGGTCTATAAAGACATGGATGAGCGAGTTGGGGTGGAGGAACTTGACTGGCCTGCATGTGCTTCTGGAAGAATGGTCAAACATTCCCATAGAAACACTCCTAAGCCTTGTGGACAGCCTTCCCAGAATAGTTGAAGCTGTTATAGCTGCAAAGGGTGGGCCAACTCAATATTGAACCCTACGGACTAAGACTGGGATGCCATTAAATTTCATGTGCGTGTAAAGGCAGGCGTCCCAATACTTTTGGCAATATAGTGTATGTTTGTCGGATCTGACACATTACTTGACAAATTCACAGTATACTGAATCAGTCATAAAGCTTTCTTGAGAACTGGACTGATGAACTCCTTGGGGAGTGTGTGTGTGTGTGGGGGGGGGTTGTGATGGGGGGGGGTGAACAGGTTAATTAGTTAGTGCCATTAGTCAGTAATGTGCAGCAGGAAGAGGTACTGCCACTTGTCACTGATGCATTAGTAACTGGTAGCAGTTAGTTAGCCCCTTTGCTTTGTATTAGTGGAACCAGTGTCAGTGTTAATTAACCCCTTTATGCTTCAGCAATTAATTAAAGATGAACTTTAATGGCATCCCAGTCTTAGTCCGTATTGAGTTGTCCCACCCTTTGCAGCTATAACAGCTTCAACTATTCTGGGAAGGCTGTCCACAAGGCTTAGGAGTGTGTCTATGGGAATATATACAGAAAAGGTGCAGCGCTAAAAATCACAATAAAAACAAAATTAATCAAGTGGAACCGTAAAGTGCATCACATAAGCGCATTAAACTTGCGAATAAAATAAACAGCAAATCAGCAAGTAATGATAAAGCAATAATGTCCGTGGGTAAAAGTGATGATGGGTGCGCTACAAGTGCAAATAAAAATGATCAACAGATAGTATTATAGTACTGATATTCATGTGGACATACTATTTTATCTATTTTTAATATCGCACTAATTTTTACTAAAAATATACATTTAATAAACAGCTGCACAAATGTTGTGCAACATAGAAAAATGCAACTGCCACCATTTTACTCTTCAGGGCCTCTGCTTTCCAAAAATATAACATGTTTGGGGATTCTAAGTAATTTTCTAGCAAAACAATTCTGATTTTACCATGTGTATGAAAAATGTAAACATTGCCCCAGATATGAAGTGGTTAAATATGATTTAAGACAGAGTCTCTAGGCATAGGTTGCTGTAATATTGAAGCCTTACCTTTGAGGGATACGTATGTGTCCTGATATTGACTTGTATTCTCTACCTGTCAGGGCATTGATGTCACTTTAATGTCAGGCTGAGTGGAGGCTGACCTGTCTCCTTCCTCATCTCAGGGCTGATAACTGTTACACTCTCTAGGCTGCTGGCTGAAGTTAAAACTGTCAATTAACAAAACCTTTACTTTTTGTTCATGTAATCCAAAGAACACCTTTTTTATATTACAATGTTTTTTTGTGTTTTATTTTTTCAGCACTGGGCTCAGGCAGGAAATGAATGGAAGAAGAGTGTGTTACATGTAACAGTGTTACATGTACTGACTACTGAAATAGATTTTTTTTTCCCACAATTTAAGGCCATGAATACAATTATTTGATTGCTATAGACTACAGTGGGGATCGAAAGTTTGGGCACACCAGCTAAAAAATTTGTATTAATGTGCATAAAGAAGCCAAGGAATGATGGAAAAAATCTCCAAAAGGCATCAAATTACAGATTAGACATTGTTATAATATGTCAACAAAAGTTAGATTTTATTTCCATCATTTACACTTTCAAAATAACAGAAAACAAAAAAAATGGCGTCTGCAAAAGTTTGGGCACCCTGCAGAATTTATAGCATGCACTGCCCCCTTTGCCAAGCTGAGACCTGCCAGTGTCATGGATTGTTCTCATCATCGTCTGGGAAGACCAGGTTATGTCAATCTCAAAGGTTTTAAATGCCCAGACTCATCTGACCTTGCCCCAACAATCAGCACCATGGGTTCTTCTAAGCAGTTGTCTAGAAAACTGAAACTGAAAATAGTTGACGCTCACAAAGCTGTAGGCTATAAGAAGATAGCAAAGTGTTTTCAGATGTCAATATACTCTGTTCGGAATGTAATTAAGAAATGGCAGTCATCAGGAACAGTGGAAGTTAAAGCAAGATCTGGAAGACCAAGAACAATATCAGACAGAACAGCTCGCAGGATTGTGAGAAAAACAATTCAAAACCCACGTTTGACTGCACGATCCCTCCAGAAAGATCTGGCAGACACTGGAGTTGTGGTACACTATTCCACTATAAAGAGATACTTGTACAAATATGGTCTTCATGGAAGAGTCATCAGAAGAAAACCTCTTCTACGTCCTCACCACAAAAATCATCGTTTGAACTTTGCAAATGAACATATAGACAAGCCTGATGCATTTTGGAAACAAGTTCTGTGGACCGATGAGGTTAAAATTGAACTTTTTGGCCGGAAATGAGCAAAGGTACGTTTGGAGAAGAAGGGGCACAGAATTTAATGAAAAGAACCTCTGTCCAACTGTTAAGCATGGGGTTGGATCAATCATGCTTTGGGGTTGTGTTGCAGCCAGTGGCACAGGGAACATCTCACGAGTAGAAGAAAAAAATGGATTCAATAAAATTTCAGCAAATTTTGGATGGTAACTTGATGCCATCTGTGAAAAAGCTGAAGTTAAAGAGAGGATGGCTTCTACAAATGGATAATGATCCTAAACACACCTCGAATCCACGGGGGATTACATCAAGAGGCGTAAACTGAAGGTTTTGCCATGGCCTTCACAATCTCCTGACCTCAACATAATTGAAAATCTATGGATAGACCTTAAAAGAGCAGTGCGTGACAGACAGCCCAGAAATCTCAAAGAACTGGAAGACTTTTGTAAGGAAGAATGGGCAAAGATACCTCAAACAAGAATTGAAAGACTCTTGGCTGGCTACAAAAAGTGTTTACAAGCTGTGATACTTGCCAAAGGGGGCAGTGCATGCTATAAATTCTGCAGGGTGCCCAAACTTTTGCATACGCCATTTTTTTGTTTTCTGTTAATTTGAAAGTGTAAATGATGGAAATAAAATCTAACTTTTGTTGACATATTATAAGAATGTCTAATCTGTAATTTGATGCCTTTTGGAGATTTTTCCATCATTCCTTGGCTTCTTTATGCACATTAATACAAATTTTTAGCTGGGGTGTCCAAACTTTCGATCCCCACTGTACCCCACTGCATCAGTAAATGTACCTTAAAGTGAATCTCCAGCCACAACCATTCTTTATAGAACAAAGATACAGACAAAAACATTGATATGTGAATGTATTATGATTTGCATTAAATCTTTTCCTGTATTAGCCTACTTCCTTATTGTGAGGATCAGTAGTCCCCAAAGTACTTCCCACTGGTGGCTGTAAAACCAGCCCCTGCAGTGAGAAGGGCTTTCTCATTGCAAGATGAAGGAAGGTGGATGCTGACTTCAATCTATTATAGGAACTATTAGGTAGAGTGATCTCCTGCCCAGGGAAGCCTGTATAGTCCCAACCATCATGTAACAATGAGGAGGGGCATGAAGCCATCAAGGTAAATACCACTGAACACCATTGATGGGGCTCTATATTCCTTCCACTGGCAAATGAGCACCAATGGCAGGACTCCATTAACCCCACTGAACACCAAAGATGGGGCACTATATTTATCCCACTAACCACTGATACCAATGAAAGTGCATCATTTCTCTCGCTGACTCCTGATACCAATGAGGGGACACTTGTTCTCTCACTGATGTAGGGAAATTTATTAATCCTTCAGACCACTGACACAGGGGCATTTATTACTTCAATAAACCAATTATGCTGCTGCATTTATTATTACCTCTGGCCACAATGCAGGGGCATTTATTACTCCCACTGACACCAGAGAATTTATTCTTCTTACTGATGCAGAGGAAGTTATTGCTGATCCCCGATGCAAGGATATTTATTACTTTCATTGACATCTGGGTATTTTAGTTTCCTACTAACCTCTGTTACTGGCACATTTTATACTCCTACTAGCCACAGTCTGGCCCCCACACAATCTGATGGACAGTGAACTGGCCCTTTGTTTAAAATGTTTGAGGGCCCCTGATGTGGATAAATATGTGCAAAAATGCTCTCTCAATACTGTCAGTACTGTGAGCTGCATTTATAATGAGGATCTTTATAGTGATTGCACATTTATATATTATGCATTCTTTAACAGATATGCATATATATGTGTTTTTGCAATGCTTTGGTGTATATTGACACTTACAAAACATAGCCTTCTCTTTGACAATTGCTCTCTGTATTACAGCCAGTGATAGGAAGCACACATACTGTATGTATTAAAAGCACTGTTTTTTAACAATCATCTTTAACAGTTTAATGAACTACTGTATATACATTATAGATTAGCCTTTGTTTGTTCCAAGCCAATAAATGTGCAGTAAACTAGTACATGAGAGGTTAGCCTTTGTTTGGCTTCAGTCCATAAAAATGTGCATGAAGTAGCAGCTGATCAGACAAGACTAAACTCTGAGAGCAGAGCATCTGTAATAGGTTTTCTGTGAGCAA